GATGAAGCAATTATTTGATTTTAAATTTATGGCTATAAATTAAGCTTAGTGGTTAAGATATTTATAATTATATATTAAGTTTTGAAATTAATTAATGATAGCCTTGCTAAGAGATTTTTAAGGCTATTTAAACTAAAATTGAATGACAAAACATGTTTTAAGCCTTTCTCTAATCTCTGCATAATTTTTCTTAATTCATGTGAAATGCATGCATGAGTATAGCCAATTATTTTAATCCATTTTGAAAATTTGTGTTCAGCTTCCACATGATTTATTCCTTGTAACCACCCCATTTTCCTGCATAACTTAGATTCTTCAATGAACGATGATTTAATCAAATTGTTGCCGAGAGATTATTTTTGTTGTGGAGGGAAAGAGAGAGGGAGATTGTGCCTGATGATCAAATCACTATTAATCAAACCGGCAATTGAGCAACTTAGGAGAAGCATGTTGGATATGGAGCCTGTTCCGACTTTTCCCTCTGCGCTCTTTGCGCCTCACGCGGAACCGCGTCCCACCCCGTTCTCCGCGTCGCTCCTCAAGCCGCACCCCTTTCCGCGTCGCGCCTCACACGAACCGAGTCCGGCTCGGCATTGCATGCGGAACCTCGGGAGCTTCCTGCCTCTCTAGTTTCTGAAATAAGCCCTTTTTGCTTATTATAAATAGGAAGAAATTAGGCCTGCTAGAATCATCCCAAAAACCACCTCCTCTCTGTAGCAATTAAGTTCTTTGGTTTTTTCTTCTTTCATGTGGAGTTAGAGAGAGAGAAGGAGAGAAAGGAGAAGAGAGATGAGGTAGAGAGAGAGAGAAAGAGAAAATTAGATTTTTTATAAACATCGAAACGCTCGACGGTGTAATTCCTCGAAGTAATAAAATCCTCTGTAACTCCGTGAACACGTGCAATTTGTTGAACCACATAAATCTGTGTGTTCCGCTGTGCTTTTCTGTTTTGCTATTTTTCTCAATCTTATTTTTTGTTTTATTTCCGTGATTTTCTATAACAAAGTAAACTTGAAAAGATTTGATGGAAATAGCTTTTGCTCCATAATGCATGCGTATACATGTAGAGATAGCTTGCTTGATTTTTTGTGTTAGTGGTCGGTGGGGGTGCTCTTATTCTTCTTAGTCATTTCTTATCTTTGCTATCTGTCCTCATTCTTCAGCTTTCTTGCCATCAAAATGGGATTTGACACCTCACCACCACCTTTTGTAAGAGAGAGATTCGCAATCTTAGTTTGAAAGAAGAGTGGCATGATGGCTTTGTGTTTTAATTTGTTGGTAGGTTGATTGGCACAAAAATTCTGTAAGTAGGGCTTATTGGAATTTCTGAAAATATCATCCCATTACATGCATGTTACATCGCTTTGTGGGACGCTTGGCACGAACGTGACTGCAAACTGCAGCATCATCGCTACTCCGGGCCATGTATTCACAAAGGCTGCTGTCGCTGCACTCGGAACCATGAACGGTCCAGTGAGATAGGTAATAATGTTGGATGAAATTCCATACACCGCACACCATGCACATAACTTGAAACGAAGTAGATGCTTGATGCCGTATAGTTGAAAAAAAATGTCGAACCAGACTTCGCTTTCTACATACGGCGTCAAATTGATGCGTGCTAAAAATTTTGCGGCGATAGAGTATTGGATTATCGTCTTAGTGTTGAACCAGAATTCATCACACACTCATATAACCAGAAGTAACACCAGAAGTTTTTACGTGGAAAACTCATAAAAGGAAAAAATTATGAGGTCTGGTTTAGCTGTAAAAATTCACTATAATTTGATGATTACAGAAACCCCTTGTCCTACATGCGGGAAAAGGTTACAAAGTTTTCTGAATTACAACTTTGACGTGTGAATGAACTTGCCATAAAAAGTAGGTGGCAACTTATGGTGATCACTGGAGGTCAACAAGTGGTGGTCGATGATGGTCGATGATGGTCGACGGTGGTCAACGGTGGTCGACGACGATCGATACCGGTCAGCGGTGGTCAATGGCGATTGGCGGAAATCAACGGTGGCAGGAATAATGTTGAACTTCAGCTCCCTCTCAAAGCTTCAAGCTCTTTCTCAAGCCTCAAACTCTAGATGACTTTTTATCAAGATTTGAATGTTTATTACTCGAAAGATTATCTTGAATTCTGTGACATACCTCGAGATGCGTGACGGATGATGAAAATTTGTTGATGATGTATCAATTATTTGTAATTATTTTTATCTATAATCTTATTCTTGTTAAAGTTTTCAAACTAATAATAATATTATTATTATTATTAGTATCATTTTTCTTATTATTATTCTTGTTTTCATTTCCTATTTTAATATTTCTTAATGTGCTTTAAGTATTATTCCTTTAAATTATTTTAATTTCTTGATATTATTTAAGATATTTAATAATAATAACAATAATAATAACTTTATGTTGTTGTATAATTGAGGTGATTTAGGACATGGGCTACACTACACCTACTTAAAGCTGTAAACGATCTTTCAAACACATATTAGTTGAGAGCACTTGCACAAGGAGCAGTAGTATCTACTAACTCTCTCATAAATGATAGTTTATCCACTCCAAATTTTAAATTTTCAAAAACTTACACATTATGAATTTTCTTATAGTGTGATTACATCGCAGAAATAAAGGGGTTTTTACCACCTTTTTGGGGCTCTGATGATGAGTCCCAAAGAAAAGGTGATAATGAACATGGAGGGACTTTGTAGCCGCATGTGGCAGTCAGCCTGCCTATTTAACATGCTACAGAGAAATGACAGCGACAAGGACACACGTGTTTCGTTGCCGTTCTATGATGATCTCGGGACTTCTGGTTCTATATTCATGATCTCACCGCCTCATGTTTATTAGACCTGGTCTTCATACAAGTTCATTTCGACAACATATATTAGAGGAGGCTCTTTATGGGCGACAGCAAGCAGCCACCCTCCACAATAGCAGTTATTGATGTTTGCAAGCAACGATACCTTCATAGGACCAAAAGTTTTGGGGTTGTGGTGTAGATTTAATACATGATCAGGATAAATTACGTCATATCTCATGTACCGACTTTCTACACCAGGATAGGAAGACCAGAGCAGTCAATAGCTAGTAGCATCCGCACCAATGAGAGTGATCCCAACAATCGTCAGATTACTACATACTAGGCAGTAGAGCGATAACGCATCAACAACGTCACATGCAACGATACGGTATATATATTTCACCCACTTTATATTTTTATTTTTTTTATCACAGATATACTATTTATTAACGATACCTATAATAGTCTCTATTTTTTTATTATGCACTTTTAATCTTTTTCTTCTTGCATGTATGAGAAAAATTTACAAGAATCTATATAAAAGGCATTTAACACATTTAACATATTCCCTAAATCCTACTATTTTTAAGAAATACTAAATATTAAAAAATAATATCTCATCTTAAAATTTAATACAAGTACTTTAAAAATTATTTATAATAACTTTAACCAATATGATTAAATATTACTAAAATTAATATTAATATATGATTATTATCTTAATTATTTATTCTCTTTAGTGTACATTATAAAAATATTATTCTAGAGTTTATACTAGGAAACATTATCATTTTTAAAATAATATGTTTTATAATAAATTCAATGATAATTTTTTAAAGTATTATTTTAATTATAATCTACACTGAAATCTAGAAAATTAAAAAAAAAAGGATAAAATCGTACAATAATACCGATTTTTTATAAAGAAAATCTAATGAAAATTTAACTTAACTAGCTTTGGTGTGACTAAAATTTAATTGAAGCATAATTCATATTATCCAATATTTATTGGAGTGAATATTCATTTCGAGCAATTGAATATTTAGGCTTGATTTTATTTTTAATAATTCCTTAGTTTTTTTAATAGATATAAAATTTTGTAGAGATTTTGTTTTTCTTTTTTTTTTTCTTTTTTTTTTTTTTTTTTGATTGATAAGCTTAAAACCCATATTGGATCTACTATTTTTAGTTAAATTCTCTTTGTATGTTATTGTAATTCTTGATTTACAATAAAATTCATACATATAAAATATTATTATCCATTTTGTATTTTATTCTAATTCTTAATTTGAAAAAATAAAATAAAATAAAGGTTTTCTTAATTCATTTTTTTTGTATAATTATTTTTATGAATTCGAGTTTTATGGAACAAAATGAGTCATTTTGAATACTTCAATTCGAACACGAACGCGACATTGTTGGTGAAGGAATAAGGACACAAGCTAAATTCCAATACAGTTGTTTTTGATAAAGTTGAAGATGAAAAAAAGCAACAGCTCACTCGTGTTGGGCTCATTTACACCCTACATAATTCTTACGTATTTACATATCAAACACCTACACAACCATATTTACATGCATTCACTCAAATTTCTAACATCACATAAAAAATATCATATTTATTATCTTCTTAAAAATGAAACATATATTTTCATGCACGACCCTAAGATGACATAAGTGTAAATCTCAAACTTTTCATGTTAGTTATGTAAATACATATAAGTTGTATGGTATGTATGCAAATTTCACGTACAAAAAAACAAACAAATATTACTTCTCAACTTTGAACGTAGAGATACGTCCGGAGTTCAATGAAATAACGTCACGTGAAGGTGATGGAAAAAAAAAAATTGTTTTAGCACAGAGGAATATCAATAAAAAAATAACGCCCGTGTTATTTCACGTTATTCTTGTGTTATTGTAGTGGTATTCATGTGTTATTGTGTTCTGAGAGTATTCTCAGTATTATAATAACACAATAATAATCAATAACACTATAATAACACCTGAATAATGTGGAATAACATGAGAGGAATATTTTTCTGTGTTACCAGATCAGATCATAAGAAAATTAATTTTTAACTAATTTGAGATCCAAAACGTGTTTGGCGCCATTTCTAACGGCTCTGCTTACATTGAAACCGTACGAGTACAAGAATCTCTATGCTCCGCACCACAATCAGCACCACGACTTCCTGCTATTCCGCTTTTTTCCGCCCTTCAATTGAAAAGCAACAGAACAAGTGAGAGAAGAAGACAGTCTGGTTCGAGTAATTCCTCAGTCTCCTCCACCAATCTCCGCTTAATTTCGATCTCAGCAACTCCTCGATGTCTTGCACGACGAGCCCACAGCTCCGGCTACTGATACTCCGATGGCCTCAACGAGCCCCTTTCTCTTCCTGTTCTTCTTCGTCTTCTTCAGCGGCGGGATCAAATCACATCTTCTCCGATAAGTTCTGCCGATTTCCGATTCTTTCCCTTCAACGAATCGATTGTTCCCTCAATATAATCGATTTCAGCAGGCGGAATCGCTCTGCTGCCATGTGCTTTCGCAGCTTCGTGGCCCAAGAAGAGGTTTTCTTTAATCCTGTTCTTTTGTAAAACTAAATTAATTCTCTCTCCAAAGGGTTAATTTGTTCTCACGAAAGCATTTGAAAGTTTCTATCTCAAGATTTGCATGAAGTCACTTGTTCTCACGTTGAGCCCACTTAGTAATTCTGTTCTGTGTTGTTTTTAACTCTTTTAGAGTGCGGAGGCCATTTCTGTGAAGTATGAAGAGAGTAATGGGATTTCAACAAAGGAGTGTATTCATAGATATGAAGACAGGGATGGAGATCGCAGCAATGTTGTTGTTGACCCGTCCTTCGACATCGACTTGAAGGAGCGGAAGAGAAAATTTGGGTCTTTTGTGTCTGCTGCTGCTGCTGCTGCTCGATTATTTCGAACCATTATTCGCGGAAGGAGAAGGTAAGGGAACTTGGATCAAGAAAACTCATTATTGGTAATTAGTTAAGAAATTTTGATGTAAAATATGTTTGATTATTTATTTAATTAGTTATTGATTTTATTTTGTTTTTCATGGTTGATGTTTCTTTCTAATTGTTTGTTTCCTCAAAGACATGCAAAGAGTCAAGGTTTACTAGTAACATGGACACTAAGCTCTTCTAGCACGTTTACTTTTTTTTTTTTCATTGTGGTGTTACTAAAACAGGGTTGTTTCCTTTAAACCAATGGAGATGTCTATGATATCATATTGCTGATAGGATATTTATTACTTAATATCTTGTATTAGGTTAATGAGAATAATTGGTTAATAGAGAACTACTCTTGTATTCTATAAATAGCCTCAATTGAAGATATTGATGGAATGAAAAATTGATAAGCTCTCTCCCTATTTTGTGTTTCTTCTTCTTCTCCCTTCTTCCTAATTTCTGAAATTTTCTGCACCCTCCAATTGTCTTGTATCCTTCACAATGTGTTCCTCTTCTCCATTCCTCCCCTACATAATTTTTTAAGTTGTCGACATCCTTGAGTTGCCTATTAGCAAGATCTAAGAAACAATATCATATCAATTGCATGCTAAAAATATTTCATGTCTTCGTGAAGTGTGCTTAGGAAAATTGAAAGCAAATGGAGAAAAAATTGTAGTGAACTTAAAACAGAAGATTTGAAAGAATTTTAATCAACGTACCCATACACCAAGCAGAAAATTTGAAGGAGATGTTGCCTTTATTCACTCATACCACTGGAAAACATTTTCTCCCAAAAAATCTATAAAGTCGTGCCACTAGAAAATTTCGAGATCTCAACCTTAGACTCATAACGAGGATGGTCTGATCCTGCAGACTACATTACCTCTTTTGAGTAGTCCATATGTTTATTGTGAATAAGTGAAGTGCTCAAGTGGCGTCTGCTCTTCACGACACTTAGAATGTCAGCCCTCCGTTGGTTCAATGGTCTACTGTAGGGATTTATTACCTCCTACACATATTTAAAGAGAATGTTCGTCACACAACTAGCGTACATAAGCCCTAGAGAAATTTGCAAGCTCTCCTACAACTGCACGAAGGGCAAGATGAATTCTTGTGTGCATTTATGACCCTCTTCCAAAGAGAAATGCTAGAATTTCGGAACCTCAAACTTACGATAATGCATGTTGCACTGGCACAAGCTAGGCTCGGGGAAGGATCGTTTTTCTACCACCTAGGTCTGCAGCTGTCCAAGATGTTGGTCAAGCTATTAAAACTTGGCAATGACCATATATCTTCCAACGAATACAATTCTCCCCTTTCTGTCAAAAAAGCATCGCCCCGATTGATACCCACCAAAGAGAAGTGCTCACAAAGAGGGTTGAGGACTAAGGTGAAATCCACGTCCACCCACCAGGGACAGTTTCAAGGAATCACAATTATTCTCAGAAGACTGAATTCTAGATAAAAGAGTTGTATTACAAAGATAATCATAACCCATGCAACGAGCCAATTGACATGACGAAAAGAGGCAACCATTGCCTATCAATGAACTTCCTCGACCCACACTGCTAAGAGTCTCTATAATCGAAGTAGTATAAGCAATGAAGAATGAATTTTTCAAAAATATACCACCAATGAAGACATGAAGATATCTTCGAGACCACTAAGAAGTTTTGTCACCTTCGAAATTTGAATAAGGGGCTAATCAAAGTTGGGAAGCCTAAGGAGTTCGTAACTCCCAAGGCTTCAGTCGATCCACATCACATGTATCTTACTAGCCTTATTTGGAGGAGATAACAAAGCTTCCCAAAAAGTTAGCTTAAAGAGACTTTGCTTGAAAGATTTCTTGGCAGCTCTGATCCCACGACATGCGTCGCAACACCAGCTAATTTTATTCACTAATAAAAACTTACCTGCCAAAATGAAATCCCTACAATGATGAAATAGTTGTTACCGCTTTTATTTTTGATTTTTAGATAAGAAGTATACAACACTGGCAGCTTCATAAATATAATCTTTAAGTTAGTCTTTGATAAGATGGGTTTGGGCACCGCTAGCATTTTGCCAACTGCTGTGCTGCTTTATTATTTTTTGGGCGAAAAGGAAGTGCTTGGGACTCTTGTCGTACTAATCACTTGGCAGAAGGTAATAAGCTTTTCAAACGACAACAAATTTCATCATAGTGGACTCGTGAGCAGCTAACAATGGTATCTTTGATATGCCTCTACTTAATGTCTTTTGAGCGGTCGTATCGACTTATCACGTAGCAGTAAAATTTCTAACTAATGGTATCATAGAGCCAAGAGATTTTGAGAAATCACGTGGGTGCAGTCAGCTCCGGGAATAGCCTTGAGACTGATGAGTTCATCGAAAAGTTTTCCCCCTCTGCGAAAGATAACGATAATTTTGTGACTAAGTTTTGCTTTTAATGCAGAACAAAAAGACAAGTTGGTTGACCTACTTTGGGAACACTGAGATGCATTTGCTTTATCGATCGTGAAAGTGCTTAGAGTATTTATCGATGTCGCTTGCCACCGAATATATCTATAAAATAAAAAATGAGGTTAAATGTAACAACCTTAGTGAATCCAATGCACAAAGAAGTAGAGAGACTGCAAGAAGTCGGCTGCATACTCAAAGTACAATACTCAGACTGAATGCCAAACATAATCTTAATTCAAAAATCAAATGACAAGTGGAAAATGTGTGTCAACTTCACTGGTCTAAATGTCGCTTTCCTGAAGGAGAACTATCTTATGATTGGATCGATATGCTTGTGGATTCGGACGTTATGAGCTCGGTCATGAGTTTGTTGGACACATTTTTCGGATGTCATCAGATAATGAAGCATCCGACCGACACATAAAAACTAGCATTCATCATAGGAGAGGGTGTTTACTGCTATAATGTAATATCTTTTATGCTAAAAAAATGCAGGGGCGACCTACCAGCGTCTCATGGATGTATTCATTGTTAAATAGAAAAGAAAAAATATTTAAGTGATTGTATGATGAGTTAGTTAAGAAAAATAAAACAACAACACATAAAATACTTCAAAAAACTTTTGAAACCTTAAGGAAATATAACATGAACATCGATCCTCTCAATTGAACGTTCGACACAAAGGTTAGGAAACTCTTAGGATATTTTATGATGCATAAAGGGATAAAATTCGATCCTAAAAAGTTCAAGCTTTGGTAGAAATGTAGTACCCTTACAAATTCAAAGAGCTACAAAAGCTGACCGGCTCCTAAACTCAATCGATTCAATTCCAAATCAGACGATAAATGTGCCACCTTCTTGGGTCAAATGCTTCAAGTGATCAAGAAAATTCAAATAAGCCTTTCAACAGTTGAAAACGTATCTGGCCTCTCCACCTCTCCACAATATTCCAAAACTGAATGAAGAAGTCTCGCTCTACCTAGGAGTTGGACCTGAAGCGATCAGTTTTATCCTGATCTATGAAGAACAAGAGATCAGTATCCAGTGTACTATGTTAGTCAAGTCTTCAAGGGAGTAGAACTCGAGTACCCAATCATGAAAAAATAACCTTTTATTTTATTGTTTTTGCATGTGAGCTCTGCCCCTATTTTCAAACACATCCAATCTAAATTATCATCGATTATCCCCTCAAAGAGGTTTTAAGCAAGACCGAGCATTTTGTTTGGCTCCTAAAATTTATTGTACAACTTAGTGAATTTAACTTATCTTACACACTAAGGACAACAATCACAGCTAAGGTTTTGACATATTTCCTATTCGAATTCAAAGAAACTAGAAACCAGGTCAATAAAATCTCTCGAGAAATTACTTGGACATTTTACATTGATGGGGCATCCACACAAATACAGGCAAGACTTAGGCTCACTCTCACTAACCTGAATGGTGACCACCAAAACAATTTAATAAAATTAGAGTTCAACGCTACCAATAATCAGGTCAAGAACGAAGTTGTTGTAGTTGAGTTATGTTTCTCTTATGAAGCGGGCGCTCGATACCTTTTGGTCAAATTTGACTCTCAGCTAGTAACCGGGAATTTAAACGGGTGATTTGAGGCCAACAACTAAATGATGATAAGATAACTGGCGAAATAAAAAGCTAAAATTAGGAATTTTGAATGGTTCGGGATCGAGCATATCCTATAGGCGATAATAAATTAACAAATCTTTTATCAATAAACAGTCGCCTGGGAGGGAGAAATCCTCATAAACTCTAATGATCGACTGTTGACAAATTTGAGATCAAGGAAATAGGATACAAGGGGAAGAATAGTTAGGTTGACTCATACATCCATTTCCATAATACTAGAGATGTCTCTAAGGGCATTGTTATCCCTGAATATTTCAAATTCAAGCTTGCTTTTAGAGTCAACCACCTCACTGTTATTTTTTTTTTCTTTTTTAAATGAACATAAATTTGTTAGCATATCTATTTATATGTTGTCATATTATTCCTTTTTTCAAAAAAATCTTCCTCTAGGATCATAGAAATGGCCTGAAGAGGAGAGGAATCGAAAAGAATGATATACGATGAAAATAGACAAACAAATTTAAAAAGAAATGTGGTAGGCTTTTGTAAGATAATCCTCATGTGATAGGTTGAGAGTATATGTCCAAACAGAATTTGATCGAAATAGCTCAAAACACAATATTCACGAAGAAAATCCTTACATAAGCCACCCATTACTAGAGAACTAAAAAGAGTATATTTGTTTGGCAGACAAGAGCACTTCCAGAGGAACACACCCTTTTAGTTAATTACATCTTGGGGATACCTACACTCTCGATGAAAGGATTCTTGCTTACGTTATCATGATAACTGATGGATAGGTCACCAAAAAGATAGTTATTTCACCGGAACATCTCACCATCTTGAGTGACTATACCAAGCCACATAGAAGAGGGAGAATCCCTCATATCCACAAATGGACGGCAGCATGCTGAAGAATGAGGCATGGGAAATAACCAAATCATTTCATCAAGAACATCCCTGCAC